AATATCTACATGCCCACTAGGGGAGACAATAGCCTAGTGGTATTATCATTGGACTGTTAATCCAGAGACACAGATAATGTTCTGGGGACCCGGGTTCGAATCCTGCCACAGCAGATGGTGGAATTTGAATTCAATAAATCTCTGGAATTAACAATCTAATGATGGCCATGAATCCAGTGTCAATTGTCAGAACAACCCATCTGGTTCACTAATGCCCTTTAGGGAAGGAAACTGCCATCCTTATCTGGTCTGGCCTACATGTGACTCCAGACCCACAACAATAGGGTGGACTCTGAACTGCCCTCTGGGCAATTAGGGATGGGCAATAAATGCTGGCCTAGCCAGCGATGCCCTCATCCCGTGAATGAATAAAAAGAAAGGAAAGATTGAGAAGACAGACTGCATAAATGAGGCTGGTATTCTCAGCAACAGAAATGGGCAAAGGAACAAAAACAAAGTTGCTGGAGAAGCTCAGCAGGTTGGGCAGCATCTGTGAAGGAAAAAACAGATGGGCAAAGGTTGATTTCATTGACACTTTAGGATCTAGAGAGAGGTTTCCTCTTGTAAAGATAGAGTGAAATACTCCATGACTCGGTGCAATAAGATATAGACAATATCTAGACTTGGGCCTGACAATGTGCAAGTAACAGTCACACTGCACAAATGTCAGGCAAAGACCTTCTCCAACAAGAGAGAGAATCTAACCATCATCCCCTGACATTTGTGGCATTACCATCATTGAACACCTGCCTGTCAACCTCCTGCAGATTACCATTGACCAGAAACTAAACTGGACCAGCCATATCAACATGGTGGTTACAAGAACAGGTCGGAGACTGGGAATTCTAAGGTAAGTAACTCACCTCCTGACTCAAAGAAATTTGAGGTGTAATAGACCTTAAGAAAGAGCAGAGGCATTGAGGAGGGAACAAAGACTAAAGGAAAGGCCTGTGACAGGATGCAAGGCAGGAGAGATTAGACAACAAAAGAAGACTATAAAGGGACTGGTAAACATGCAAAGAATGGTCTGGAACAATAGGAGGCAATCTTAAAATCAGAAACTGACCATTCAGGAAAGCACCTTGATTGTCACCACATCCACAAGCATCTACTCCCTCCAGTAGCTCAGTAGTAGCAGTGTGTACCATCTACAAGATGCGCTGCAGAAATTCACCAAAGCTCCTTAGACAGCACCTTCCAAACCCATGATCACTTCCAAACAGAAGGACAAGGGTAGCAGATACATGGGAACACCACCATCTGCGAGTTCCCCTCCAAGTCACTCACCACCCTGACTTTGAAACATATTACCATTTCTTCAGTGTCGTTGGATCAAAATCTTGGAATTCCCTCCCTAAAGGCATTGTGTATCTACCTACAACAAATGGACTGCAGTGGTTCAAGAAGGCAGCTCACCCCCACCTTTTCAAGGGGGGCAACTAGGGACAGGCAATAAACGCTGGGCCCAGCCAGTGACACCCACATCCCATGAATGAAGAAAAACATTGAGAACGGTTCTTTTGCAGGAAGTGTGGTAGAAGTGTGAAACGGTCACAAACTCTAGCACACCACTTTAATTAATCCTTTGAAATTTATCAATTTTTGCTCGGCAAGGAAAATGGAGCCAAGGCAGTTGCATTGAGTTACGATACAGGTCAGTTATGGTCTCAATGAAAGGTGGATCAAGTTCAAGGGGCTGATTGGCCTCCATCTTTTCTATGTACATTCCTGACATCGGCCCCACTCCCACTCCTGAGCACCTTCTGACACATTTAGATCCAACACCCGTGTTTTGATGTGAACCACCTCCAGGATTTAAAGATGCTGACCAGCTGGCAATGTGAACACAACTCCTCATTGGAGGATTCTAATTACAGCATCAGGCCAAAAGTCTTCTCCACTCAGGTGTCTTCACTCCATCAGGCTTCATTTGTTGGGCCTATGTACTGCCTTCTTTGTAACCCATGGTCCAATTAAACAGCAAGCCTTTATCTTCATGATTCAGTCCACTAGACTACTCTGATCAATTCTGGCCAGCACTACACCCCAGCAGGCTCTTAAGGCATCAGACAAGGGGCCAAAGTGACTTACTGGAAGCGTCCCTGAGATAAAGGACTTTATTGAATGCAGAGAGACTAGAGAAGCTGGGAGCGTTCTCCATTGAGCAGATCAGATCTAGGAGAACTTTCAAACATGAAATTAGGAGGGGCTTTTAATAAAATAATCAAGAGCAAAAGTTTCCAAATGCAGGAGGATTGGTCACCAACGGGATACAGATTTAAGGCTATTGGCAATAGGATTGGATGGGGCAGGGAGGGAAGAGGAGATGAGGAGAATTTTTTTGTAATACAGTTAGTTGTTATGTTCTGGAATGTGCTGCCTGAAAGGCAGAAGCAGCTTCAGTGTTAACTGTCAAAAAGGAATTGGATAAATATTTGATACAGTAAGAAGTAAAAATACAGGTACAGACTCTATGGTTCAATAGGGCCTTATCTGTAGTATATGATTCTATGATTCCAATAAGTACATAAAAAATAGGAAAAGGAGCTGCTCTGCCATTCAATAGGATCATGGCAGATCCAACATTCCTCACGTCCATCTTCCTGCCCTTTCCCCATAATCCTTCATTCCCTGACTGATCAAGAATCTATCAATCTCAGCCTTAAATAAACACAAAGGACTCTGCCCCCAGGTTCTCTGTGGCTAGGAGGTACAAAGACTCACAACCCTCTGAGAGAAGAAATTCCTCCTCATCTCAGTCTTAAATTAGTGCCCCTTTATTCTGAGACTATGCCCTCTGATCCTAGACTCTCCCATGAGGGGAAACATCCTCTCAGCATTGACCCTGTCAAGCCCCTTAAGAATCCAACATTTGAGATGACCTCTTATTCTTCTAAACTCCAGTGAGTAGAGTCCTAACCTGTATTTTCTGTCTTCTCAGACTTCCAGACTCAGTACAGATTCCAACAGTTTCGGCTAACAATCCTAACCTTCAAGTTCATTTCCATTCAGTTTGCTGTTTTCAGATTACTTTTTTTCAAACCTTTTTTTCTGCTTTTGGATACAGCTGTTCATTATTTTGCCTTTCACGCCTCCTCTGGAGCCACCTTCACACATCTCACTTCCAATCCTTTCTCTCTTGCATCGTCAGCTCTTCCGTCTTTGTATCACGCCTGCCTTCCACCCAATCATCAAAGACCTTGTCCCTTTTCCAACCTTCCCCTTGCTCGAAACCCATTTTTAATGAAAGGCCATCAACCTGAAAAGCTAACTATTTCATTCCACACGTGGTGGTGAACCTGTTGAATATTCCCAGCATTTTCTGTTTCAAATTTTTGGTTTTTAAATGGCGCTTTGCAAATGGTCAATGCTCATCAAAACCATTGTAGACTCGGGTCTTTGCTATCGAATGATTGCACTGACACCAACTGTAGGAGTTGCTAACTTTGTTTAGACATATTCCTGAAGGTTTATTGCAAGTTCTCTTGCCTCCAATCACCCTGCCCAGTGAAAAGGTGTTCTCTTCTGCCACATCACATCTACCAATATTTTCACAAAAGGGCATTTTAAGAAAATGAAAAACACATTTTGTGAACACCTCTGCAATATTTTTCCCAGGTTTTTAGAATCATGGAATCCCTACAGTGCAGAAAGAGGCCATTCAACCCATCGAGTCCACACTGACCCTCCGAAGAGCATCCCACCCAATCCCTGTAACCCCACATTTCCCCATAGCTAACCCACCTAGCCTGCACATCACAGGGCAATTTCCCATGGCCATTCCACCCTAACCTGCACATCTTTGGACTATGGGAGGAAATGGGACCACCTGGAGGAAACCCATGAGGAGAATGTTCAAACTTCCACACAGACAGTCACCTGAAGGTGGAATTGAACCCAGGCCCCTGGCAGTGTGAGGCAGCAGGGCTAACCACCGAGCCACCGTGTTCACAATCAGTGTCCGGGTGATTAGTCTTTAATTCCTGAAGCTTCCAGAGAAACCCTGAAGTGTGCAGTCTTAGTCTCCTGATTTTGGAAGGATGTAAATGCATTGGAGGCTGTTCAGAGAAGGGGTACCTGATTAAAACCGGGAATGTGTGGATAAGATGAAAGGTTGGGCAGGCTCGGCTTGTATCTGCTGGAGTTTAGAAGAATAAGAAGTGACCTGACAGGAAATACAGACAATCTTGAGGAGTCTCAGCTATGTGGAGTGAAGAAATGTTTCCTCTTACACAGAGTCACAGGGTTATACAGCAGAGAAACAGGCCCTTTAGCACACCACATCTATACCAACCAGCAAACACCAAACTACGCTAGACAAAAAAAAACCCAAAAAACTGTGAATGCTGGAAATTTGAAACAAACACAGAAAGAGCTGGAAAAGCTCAGCAGGTCTGGCAGCATCTGTGGAGAGAAATCAGGGTTTATATTTCAGAACTGAAGAAGTTCTCAATCAGATACTGTCTCAGCCTCCTCTGCTCCAGGGAAAGGAAACCCCAGTCTATCCAGTCTCTCCTCATAACTGAGATTTTCCATCCCAAGCAACATCCTGGTTTGGGCTCACTGTTTAAAAATAAGGAGGTGCCAATTTAGGATGAAGATGAGGTGAATTTATTTTCTCGCATGGGGTTGTGAGTCTTTGGGACCTCTCATCCTCAAAAGGCAGTGGAAGCAGAGTCTATCGATATTTTAAGGCAGAGGTAGGTAAATTATTGACAGGCAAGGAGGTGAAAGGGTAAATTACTGACAGGCAAGGAGGTGAAAGGGTAAATTATTGATAGGCAAGGAGGTGCAAGGGTAGCAGGAATAGGAAGGAATCTGCTACAATATCAACGAGCCATGAACTTATCAAATGACAGAGCATGTTCGGGTGAGATGAGTGGGGACTCCTGCTCTTAACCGTTTGGCTGCCACTATCCGTCAGAACCTCAGCTTGGGAGTGTTCAATGTGAGGGGAGAGACAAAACCTTGTGGCCAATGTAAGAGAGTCATGATGGGAGTTGCAGTTTAGAAAACAACAATCTTGTTTAATTATTTTTACAAAATAATTTCTGAAAGTACTGAAAATACAAACTATAGCAACATCTTGGGAAGAAAAAAAATCATATGGATGTTGGATCCAGAGCAGCAGAAAGTGCTGGGTTTGAGAAACCATTGTAGATATGAACTCCAAGCACAGTGCTACCTAGAGCAGAGGCTGAGCACTCAGTGTTCAGACAACAGAGCAGTAACAGAAGGGAAGGAGTGTCAGACATGTTGTTATCATATTGTTTGATGGTCAGGGCTCATGGTAACAGTCAGGCCAAAAGGAGAGATGATGGAAGTGTTCAGTCATTGCCAAGTGCATGGCTTGTCCACGGTTTGGAGAAGGGAGCTGGAGAGGTACCATCTTGCAGTTTTCCAGAGACACTTCACCCTGGACCTTGGGTGATTGGGGAGGGAGTGTGGGTTGGGGAGGTGGATGCATTTACACACACAATGCAGTGAACGGTGAGACTCCAGAGACGAAGCTCAATGCTGGTGTCGATGCGGTGCAGTCACTTGCAGCTCCATTGCAGGTTGTGTGTCACCCATTTGGCCATGCCTGCTCTCCAGGGCGTGACGAGGCTATTCATGTTGACCAGGAGTCTGCCCACGTGGCCTGCCTCATGGCCTGCGATCAGGTAATCCGTGCCTATCCAAGGAGAAAAAAAAACCAGAGCTGAACTCCTCTGACGCCTAGGATATGAGGAAGGATTGTCAGCACTCGAGAGGCAAGAGTATTCTGATGCAGAGAAAGGGCTGATCAAACACATTGCGAATCTGTCAGTGAAGTTATTGTGTGTTAATGGGGCCTGGGCACTAGTCTGATGCAGGCATTGTTTGAGCTAGATGGATTATTGACCCTGCATACTGTGTATAGATGCTCCAAGTAACACAGTGATTTTATTCAATTCACAGGATGAGGGCATTTGTTAATGGCCCGTTTATTGCCCATCCCTAATTGTCCAGAGGGCAGTTAAGAGGCAACCACATTGGAGGCACATGTAGACCGAAGCAGGTAAGGATGGCAGATTTCCTTCCCTGAAGGACATTTGTGAACCAGAGGGGTTCTTCCAACAATTGGCAATGGATTCACGGTCATCATTAAACTCTCTATTCCAGATTTTTATCAAATTTAAATACCACCATCTGCCATGACGGGATTCGAACCTGGTCCTCAGAACCTTAGCCTGGGGACTCTGGATTAGTGACACTATATCTGCCTTCCATAGTTCCATTATGGACAACAATTTATACAAAGTCTTAAAAGCAGTAAAAGGTCTCAAGGTGATTCAGTAAATGTTCCAGAACTGGATATCACACTGAGCCCAAGGCGCTGGGATGGGTCCTGCAGGGATCTGGGAGGGTTGTCGGCCCTAGTGGGTGTTAGCAAGGGTGAGGCAAGGAGGGGTGGTTAGCAAGGGTGAGGCAAAGGGGGTTAGCAAGGGTGAGGCAAGGCCATGGAGGGCTGTCCACAGTTCAGCCTATCATCCCCGGGTTCCCAGTCCACTACAAGCCCCTCTCTTACTCACCAGGGTTCATTAAGGGGCATGTACATCCCCGCTTCGTCCAGGACTCCGGATAAATGCTCCAGTTGCCGCGGGTGATTTTCACTTTCCCAGTTTTCATCACCTTCTTTACCTTGACGTTGACCTCAGCATGAGTTCCTTTGTCATGAGCAGAAAGAACTCTCGCCTTGATGACTGCGGGGAGAAACAGAACATTTATCCTCCAGTTTAACACAGGAACAGGTCGAGAGTTCCCATCATTTGTACCCAGTCTTTCCTCTTTCCACGGCCACTGGTCGGGGATTTTCCTAATTCTCTCCTACTTCCTTGTTTTGAGTTCTTTCCTGCTAGAGAAATTGGTGGGAGAAATTCAGCAGGTCCAGCAGCATCCAGAGAGAGAAACAGGTAACATTTCCAAAGATGTGCAGGTTAGGGTGGATTGGCTGTGCTAAATTGCCCCTAGTGTTCCGGGGTGTGTAGGTTAGGTGTGTTAGCCATGGGGAAAATGCAGGGTTACAGGGAAAGGGTATGGGGGTTGGTCTGGGTGGGATGCTCTTTGGAGGGGCAGTGTGGACTTGTTGGGCCAAATGGCCTGTTTCCACAGTGATTCTATGATTTCGAGCCCAGTGACCGTTCTTCAAGGCAACTAAGAGTCTAGGTTGGTCACTTGAGAAGGCCAACAAACTACTTCGGTGTGAGACTGGAGTTACACATAGGCCCAAACTTGGGATAGACAGTCCCATTTTCTCCCTTTGATGGTCACATGACCAATGCTAACCTACTCAGTGTTCAATTGGATGAGATACTGGCAGAAGTCATAGAATCCCTACAGCATGGAAACAGACCATTCGGCCCAACAAGTCCACATCAACCCACTGAAGACCATCCCACCCAGACCAACCCCCATACCCTTTTCCTGTAACCCTGCATTTTCCTCACAGCTAACACACCTAACCTACACATCCCTGAACACTACAGGCAATTTAGCATGGCCAATCCACCTAGCCTGCACGTCTTCAGACTGTGGGAGGAAACTGGAGCACCCGGAGGAAACCCACGCAGACACAGGGAGAATGTGCAAACTCCACACAGATAGTTACCCGAGGGTGGAATCAAACCCAGGGCTAAGTTTTCCAATAGAGTGAAGTTATTCTAAGTTCCTCTTTCTCTTGTTGTATTTTAACTATAGTGTTTAAATAAATTGTGTTTTGCTTAATGTCAAATAGTTTGACCAATCAAATTGTATCTGGAACACAGCACCTCACATTTGCCTTTAAAATAAGAAAAAGTTAGGGTCTAGGCTACCTCCTTAAAATATTTTGAGTAGGTTTGTTCTAGTCCATAACAATGGCGTATACCCCTGGGAAGAGGTCACACACCCAAACCCTTTCAGTCAAGAGTAACTATTACTCATTAACCAGTCTAATAAAGTAACATCCCATAAACACACCGCTTGGCAGAAGGGCAAATTCAGAAAATAGATTAGTCTCACAGGTAACGCCAGCAACCCAGAATGGAGATTAAAATCAAGACAAAACTCAGAGAGAGTAGCAGCCAGGAGACATTTACTGTAGCTTCCGTCCCTGTTGAGACTCCAATAGCAATTGCCTGAAGCTAAACCTAAAAACTAAAAAAAATCTAGAAATTTTGGTCTGAGAGAGCTGGCCACACCCATCCAGGCTGCTTCTATTCTTCCAACTTCTAAAAAACAACCCATAAAGCCCTCCCAAACTGTTTACTTTGTAGCTGTTCAGTAGTCAGCTCTCCACCTCTGCCTTAAGACCCTTCTTCAAAAAAAAAACCAGGACAAAATATACCTTTTAAAGCTACAGCATTATCACAACATGATATGTACAGCAGGATTCCTGGGGACATGACTCATCAACCTTTGATCTTTTTAAATGCCTGTTTCCCAAACACAAATGAAAGTCATCCCCTAAGAAGGAAACTGGTTAATGGGCCGAATGGCCTAATCCTGTTCCAGAGATAATGGATTGTCTGCAGTGGCTCAGCGTCTTTCACAGTCAGAGGATGTTGCGAAACCCTTGGCATCCGATGAAGTACTCTTTGAAGCAGGAAACATAGCAACTGAATTACACAGCAAGATCCCAAAAACAGCAAAACGGTGAATGGGTGGATAATCTGGTTTTTAGCAATGCTGGTTGAGGTCTAAATATTGATGCTGAAATCCAGAGAGATCTCTCCCCAATTTCTTTTGAAACACTGAAAATTGGATCTTTTATATCCATCTGGGTTTAATATCTCATCTGAAAGATGAAATTTCTGACTGTGCTACCTTCTAAGTATTGAGTTTCTGGAGACTATGACCCAACCTGGAGAGAGAGAGAGATAGAGCACAAGAGAGAGACACAGCAAGAGAGAGACACAGCAAGAGAGAGACACAGCAAGAGAGAGACAGACAGCGAGAGAGAGAGAGACAGACAGCGAGAGAGAGAGAGAGACACAGCGAGAGAGAGAGAGAGAGAGAGAGACAGCGAGAGAGAGAGCTATCTACTGGACCACTGATGACAGTTCCTCAGCTATTCCCATGATACCTGAAACAATCTCTAATAAAACCAAAATACTGGAAATCTGAAACAAACACAGAGAAAGCTGGAGAAACTCAGTGGGTCTGGCAGCATCTGTGGAGAGAGAAACAGAGTTAATGTTTCAAATCCAGTATGACCCTCCTTTGGAACTGAAAACTGTTAGAAAATGTATTTTTTGTACTTTTAACAGAGGCAAAGGAGGAACAAGAGGGTAGATGGTGTAGAGGCCCAGTGTAAAATACACAAGGCTTGTCAATAATGGAGAAAGAGTAAAAGAGATGTGAAATGTAAATGACGGTGTGAATGGGAGTGAGTGGATCCTCCCTACTAAGCAAGGCACAAATGGGACAAGATGTGGGGGACTGGGAGGTAGAGGTTGTAAGAAAAGTGGAGAACATAATATGGTCAGTTTCTGAAGTTATGGAATTCAATGTTGAGACCTCAAGGCTGTAAGGTGGAAAATGAGGTGTTGTTCCTTGCTTTGTGCTTATTGGAGCTTTGCAAAGATTAACATGAGAGCGAGGGCAGTCTATTAAAATGGCAAGCACCTGGGAGGTCAGGGTCACGCCTATAGACAGGACATACTCTAACCCTGGTCACTTTGCACCCAGGCAAACAGAGAGCAGTCATAGAGTCATACAGGTCTACAGTGCAAGAAAAGGCCCTTTGGCCCATGACATCTGTGTTGGCCACAAACAACCACCAAACTATTCTAATCCCATTTTCCAGACCTCAGCCTATAGTCTTGTATGGAAAGAGGAAATGGTTTGGAGATTGGTGGTGAATATTAGAGAAACAAACAAGTGCTGCAGAACAAAACAAAGATAGAGGGTAACATGTACACAAACGTTTGAAGGTGGAAGGACAGGGTGAGAATGCTGTTAATAAAAATACCATGTTAGACAAACAGGAGGCTGGGAGGGAACAGTAGGCCAGGCAGCATCTGGAGGAAAGGAGCAGTCAATGTTTCGGGTACTACCCTTCTTCAGGGCTGGATGTGGGGGTTAGGGGGAGCTCCCCCTAACCCCCACATCCTCCACTACCCCCACATCCAGCCCTGAAGAAGGGTAATACCCGAAACATTGACTGCTCCTTTCCTCCAGATGCTGCCTGGCCTACTGTTCCCTTCCAGCCTCCTGTTTGTCTAACTTGGATTCCAGCATCTGCAACTTTTTTGCCTCTAATAAAAATACCAGACTCTTTTATCTTCATTAACCAGAATAGAGAACAGAAACAGAGCACCAGGTCAGCCTGAGCTGGAGTATTGAGTCTAATTCTGAGCAGGGCTCTTTCAAAGAGATGTCAGAGCCTTGGGGAGGATATGGAGGGAGATTTACCTTGGGACCTCAGTGAACATAGAGAGGCTGGTGAAGCTGGGATTGCTCTCCATAGAGCACAGAAGGTTAAGAAGAGATTTAGCAGAGATGTTCAAAATGGTGAAGGGTTTCAATAGCTTCCAATGACAAGAGGGTCAGTGACTAGAGATAATTGGTAAAAGAAGGGGAGGTGAATGTGACTTTCCACAGCAAGTTGTCATGGTCTGAAAGGAGGATGGAAGCAAATTCAACAGGAACTTTCAAAAGGGAACTGGAGAAATACCGGAAAGGGAAATGTTTACAAGGCTGCGGGGGATGGAGCAGAGGAGGGTGTTTCCTTACAGCATGATAGGCTGAATGGCCTCCTGCTGTGCTGTACTTTTCCATGATCTCACCTTAGACCTCAGGTTTATAACATCCTGTTAGACCAAAATCAAGGTGCTGCCTTATCCAAATGAAGAAAGGTCTGAATGGCAGCAGATTTTAGAACCTCTTACCATAGGTGTAGTTCATCCGACAAAAATACGCAGCATCTCTCAGTAACACCTCCTTGCATACACACTTCTCTAGAGAGAGAGAGAGAGAGAGAGAGGTGGGGGTGGGGGGTGGGGGGAGTTGGGAGGGGAGGGGAAACAAGGTCAATAATACAGTTCCAGTTAGTATCACCTCATTCATCCCAGAGACAGACATCAGCAAAGGCAAGCACATTTCACTTTATTCTCTCATGGGATGTGAGAGCCAAGGCCAGCATTTGGTGCCCATCCCTAATTATCAAATATCCGAGTGATTTGCTGCACCATTTCAGAGGGCAGTTAAGAGGCAACCACACCCGGTGGGTCTGGAGTCGCATGTAGGCCAAACCAGGTAAGTAGAGCAGATTCCTCTCCCGTGAGATGAAAAGAAATAGAAACAGGAAAAAGCCATTTGGCCTTTCAAGCTCTGACATTCAGGAGGATATGACATTCCTCAAGTCCACTTTCCTGCCCTTTCCCCCTTATCCTTCACTCCTTAATGAGCAAGAATATCTCTATCTCTGAACTGCCTCCAATAAAATGATATCTTTCCTAAAATAGTGGGACCAAAACTGCTCACAGTGCTCCAGATGTGGTCTCCCCAGCACCTTGTACAGTTGCAGTAAGACGTCCCTACTCTTATACTCCAACCCCCTTGAAATAAAGGCCGACATCCCATTAGCCCATCCTGATTATCTGCTGTACCTGTGTGCTAGCTTTCTGTGTTTCATGTACAAGTTACTCTCAAGCCGAATGATAGTTGTCATGGTTACTAGCACCATATTCCAGATTTAACGTAAATTCCACCAGCTGCTATGGTAGGATTTGAACCCAGGAGCATTAGTCTGGTCACTAAGGGAATGGGGCCTGCTTTCTGACATATTCAATGTGATGCTTGTGACTCTGCTCTCTGTTTGATTCCATTTGAATGTAAGATTTTAAGCAGAGGTTTGATCTGACAAACTCCCTGCTCCCCACAAGTGTCATTAACCCCTGTTAGCTCCCGTTTTAAAGAAGATGCTGACAATCTTTCAATCACTGTCCATTCCCAGTTTCCCCAACTCAGTGTCTTGATGAATGTTCTCAGACTGCAGCTAAGAATCACCAACATTGGTGTGGGCCTGGAGTCACATAAACACTGTCATTGGATAATGACTGAGTGTTGGAGAGGGACCTGGCGGAGAGGTTCATTACTGTGATTGGTCAATAACTCCATTCTGGAGTGAGGCACAGGAAGGCCAAAGGTAAATAAACCCTGGTCTATTCACGTCCAGAAATCCCAACGAACCAGGTTTGCGAGCACTGCTCCTGAGAGGGGAGGCAATGGCCTAGTGGTATTATCGCTATACTGTTAATCCAGAGACCCAGATAATGTTCTGGGGACCCAGGTTCAAATCCTGCCAGGGCAGATGATGGAATTTGAATTCAATAAAATATCTGGAATTAAGAATCTAATGATGACCATGAATCCATTGTCAATTGTCAGGAAAAACCCATCTGGTTCACTAATGTCGTTTAGGGAAGGAAACTGCCATCCTTACCTGGTCTGGCCTACATGTGACTCCAGACCCACAGCAATGTGGCTGACTCTGAACTGCCCTCTGGGCAATAAATGCTGCCTAGCCAGCGACGCCCACATCCCATGAATGAATAAAAAAAAAAATTTCACACCAACCTGGGATTCAAACTCGAGATTGCTGGATTATTGATATTGGAGTCATCCGTTTTCCTCTTATTTAAATAATTATTAATTTTGATGTGGCCCAGCTGGTCCATGTTGTTGCAATTACCACAGAAAAACAAAGTAAAAAAGAACAGGAATAGGCCATTCGGCCCTTCGAGCCTGCTCTACCATTTGATATGATCATGGCTGACCATTCAACTTAGTTAAAAGCTGAAAGAACTGCAGATGCTGTAAATCAGAAACAACAACAGAAGTTGCTGGAAAAGCTCAGCAGGCCTGGCAGCACCTGCAAAGTGAAATTAGAGTTAACATTTTGGGTCCAGTGACCCATCCTCAGAACTCCAACTTAGTACCCTGTTCCTGCTTTCTCACTAAGAACTATATTCAACCCCTTCTTGAAAACATTCAATGTTTTGGCCTCAAACACTTTCTGTGGCAGAGAATTCCAGAGGCTCCCCACTCTCTGGGTGAAGACATTTCTCCTTATCTCAGGCCTAAATGGTCTACACCATATCCTTAAACTGTGACCCCAGGTTCTGGACTCCCTGGTCATCAGAAACATCCTTCCCGAGTTTACTCTGTCTAGTCCTGTTCGAATTTTACAGGTTTCTATAAGATTCCCACGCACCTCCCACCTACCACCTCCCACCCCCCACCCCCCAATTATTTTAATCATATCTCATTTATTGATTTTCCTTCTGTCTTCATGTGAATGAAGAGTAGAATCAAAGAAGGTTGGGTTAAGATCATAGACATCATGTAGTTCTGAGGAAGGGTCACCAGACCTGAAACGTTTTTTCCTTCACAGATGCTGCCAGACCTGCTGAGCTTTTCCAGCATCTTTGCTTTTGTTCATAAATTATTAAGTTTATTTAAGTTATAAACATAGTGTCCAAGACTTGTTATTCGTAAATACTGGTTAGGAACAATTGGGAAATTTGGAGGGTCATTGAATGTTTTACTTTCATTGTGTTGTGAATCCAGTATTAACAAGGCTGAAGTAGATTGGCTGGTTGTCCCTGTGTTGTAACATCCATTATGTATTAATCCAGCTTTCCCTTCAGTGTATCGGTACAGTTCAACCAAGGAGGCTGAGGGGGCTTATGACTGAGATGTATAAAATATGGGATGGGGTGCATGGACAGAGTAGACTAGAAGGAACTTTCCCCCTCAATGGAGGGATGAATGACCAGGGGACAGATTTAAGGTAAGGGTCCAGGAGGTTTAGAAGGTATGTGAGGAAAGTTGTTTTCACCCAGTGTGTGGTGAGAGTCTGGAACTCACTGCCTGAGTGGCCCTCGCAGAACCCAAACTGGGCGTCACTGAGCAGGTTATTGCTGAGCAGGTGCTGCTTGATAGCGCTGTTACTGACACCTTCCATCACTTTACTGATGATCGAGAGTAGACTGATGGGGCGGTAATTGGCCGGGTTGGATTTGTCGTGCTTTTCATGCACAGGACATACTTGGGCAATTTTCCACATTACTGTATTGGAACAGCTTGGTTAGGGGAGCGGCAAGTTCAGTACTATTCCAGAATGTTGTCAGGACCCATAGCCTTTGCAGTATCCAGTATCTCCAACCGTTTCTTGATATCACGTGGAGTGAATCAAATTGGCTGAAGACTAGTATCTGTGATGCTGGGCACAACTGGAGGAGGCCGAGATAGATCATTTACTTGGCACTTCTGGCTGAAGATTGCTACAAAAGCTGTAGCCTTAACTTTTGCCCTGATGGGCTGGGCTCTTCCATCATTGATGATGGGGGTATTTGTGGAGGCTCCTCCTCCAGTGAGTTGTTTAATTGTCCACCACCATTCACAACTGGTTGTGGCAGGACTACAGAGCTTAGATCTGATCCATTGGTTGTGGGATTGCTTAGCTCTGTCTATCACTTTCTGCTTTCGCTGTTTGGCATGCAAGTAGTCCTGTTTGGCAGGTCCGGCACAATCTGAAATCTCATGGCCTGGCATATCCCTCATTCAACCATTCCCATCAAACTAGGGGATCAACCTTGGTTCAATGGAGAGTCATGTTGCAGCCGTATAAAATTTTAGTTGATTCAAATTTGGAGAAATACATAGTGATGTGTTGAAACAGACGACATGACAGAAGAGAAGGTCCTGGAGATCTTAAAAAGCATAAATTCCTGGGACCTGATCAAGTACATCCCAGGACATAGTGGGAAGCTGGAGAAGAAACTGTAGAATTCCTAGCGGAGACATTTGCGTCTTTGAGTGCCACAGGTGAGGAGCCCATTATTTAAGAAATGCTGCAAGGAAAAGCTGGGGAACTGTAGACCGGTAAGCCTAACATCAGTGGGAGCTAAGTTGTTGGAGGGGATTCTAAGAGACAAGATCTACGTGCATTTGGAAAGGCAAGAACATGATAGTCAGCATGTCTTTATGCATGGGAAATCGTGTCTCACAAATTTCTGTAGAATCCATACTGTGTGGAAGCAGGTCATTCGGCCCATTGAGTCCACACTGATCTCTGAAGAGCATCCTGACCAGACCCACCCCCTACCCTATCCCTGCATTTCCCAACCTAGACACTATGGGCAATTTAGCATGGCCAATCCACCTACCCTGCACATCTTTGGACTGTGGGAGGAAATCGGAGCACCCGGAGGAAACCCACGCAGACACGGGGAGAATGTGCAAACTCCACACAGACAGTCACCTGTGGTTGGAATCGAACCCGGGTCCCTGGCGCTGTGAGGCAGCAGTGCTAACCACTGAGCCACCGTGCCACCCCTACCTCAATTTGATTGAGGGTTTTGAAGAGGTGACCAAGAGGATAGATGAAGGCAGAGCGGTAGACGTCGTCTACAAGGACTTTAGCAAGGCCAACAATGAGGTTCCGTGTGGTAGACTGGTCGGTAAGGTTAGATCACATGTGAGCTAGCTAATTGGATACAAAATTGGCTTAAAGGTAGGACTCAGAGGGTGGTGGTAAAGGGTTCTTTATCAGACTGGAGGCTTGTTGACCAGCAATGTGCCACAAGAGTTGGTGCTGGGTCCACTGCTGTTTGTCATTTATATAAACAATTTGGATGAGAATATCATAAGTATGGTTAGTAAGTTTGCGATGACACCAAAACTGGTGGCATAGTGGACTATAAAGAAGGTTACCTAAGAATACAACCATCTTGATCAACTGGGCACATGGAGTTTAACGTAAGCAAATGTGAGGTTATCCATTTTGGATGAAAAAAGGATTAAATCACAGTGCTTTCTAGATGGTGTGAAGTTAAATTCAGTGATGTCCAAATAACTTTGGTGGTTCTGGTGCACAAATCTTTAAACTGTCCTGAATAGACACAGAAAGTAATCAAGAAAGTTAATGGAATGCTGGCCTCTATATCTCAATGAGTGGAGTACAAGGATGCAGATGTTATGCTGCAGATATTACAAAACCCTGGTTAGACCCCAGTTAGAGCACTGTGAGCAGATCTGGGCATCACACCTTGGGAAAGATAGATTGGCCTTGGAGGGAGTACAACGTAGGTTTACAAGAACGATAACCAGGACTTCAGGGATCAAAGACAACAAGGTGCAGGACTGGATGAACACAGCAGGCCAAGCAGCATCATAGGAGCAGAAAGGCTGACGTTTCGGGCCTGGACCCTTCATCAGAAAAGGGATCAAGTTATGAGGAGAGAATATATAAATTAGGCCTGTTATCTCCCGAATTTAGAAAGTTAAGGGATGATTTAATCAAGATATTAACTTGAAAAGACAGGGTGGATAAAGATCAACTATTCCCACTGGTTCTAGAGCTAGGGAGGGCATAGTCTGAGAATGAGGGCCAGACCATTCAGGAGAAATGTTAGGAAGTACTTCGAAACACAAAGGGTGGGAGATATTTGGAACTCTCTTCCACAAACGGCAGTGAATGCTGGATCAGTTGTTAATTTTAAATCAGAAATAGATGGATTTTTGTTAAGCAAAGGGATATGGGCCACAGGCAGGTATGTAGAGTTAGGCCACAGATCAGCCTTGATCTCACTGAATGATGGAACAGGCTTGAGGGGCTGAATGGCCTCCTCCAGTTCCTATGTTACTATCATCCATGGTTATATGAAAGTAAAGGTGGTACACATTGATCAAAATATTGTACAAATCTGCAAAGGTTAGTAGTAGCTCAGAGAACTGGACAGACTTCAAAGCAGCAAAGACTAAGAAGATAATGCAGAAAGCACAGTCCAAGAGAAAGTTAGCTAGCAATATTAAAACACACAGACTGAGTTTCTAAAAATAGGAAAAGAGCGAGTGAGGCTTGTGTTCGTCCTCTAGATTGACAGAGTCCAGGAATTAATAGTTGAAAACAAAGAAATGGTGGAGGCTCTGGATAGATATTTTGTGCCTGTCTTCAGGATAGAAAACTTCTCAAAGATAATTAAAAATCAAGATGTCATAGGGAGGGATGAACTTAATACATTCATCATCACCAGGGAAAACTGGACCTAAAACCTCAAGTCCTCAGAGCCAAATGGCCTGAGTCAAAATGTGTGAAAAGAAGTGTCAGCCCAGACATTAGATGCATAGGTTATTACATTCCAAAAGTCCTTAGATTCTGGAAGGGTCCCAGTGGATCAGAAAATAGAAATAGTAGCAGCTTAATTAAAGAAAGGAGGGATGCAGGAAGCAATAGGGCCAGTCGAACATCTGTCATAGGGAAGGGTCTGAGGAAGGGTCACATGACCCAAACGTCAACTCTGATTTCTCTCCACAGACGCAGCCAGACCTGCTGAGCTTTTCCAGCAATTTCTGTTTTTGTGTCATAGGGAAGGTACTTAAAACCATTGTTAAGGTTATAGCAGGAAACTTCGCAAAAGTTGATTTGATCAGGCAAAGTCAACATGGTTTTGTGAAAGACAAATCATGTTTAATTAATCTGCTAGTTTTTTTGTTTGATGAAGTAACATCCACTGAGAATAGGGGGGAAACCAGTAGATGTGGTGTATTTGGCTTTTCAAAAGGCTTTTGATGAAGTGCCACATCAAAGCTTCATACACAGATACACGTTCAGAGTGTAGAGTGTAACGGAGTGTGAAAGTAAGTTGTAAACAAGAGGTAGAGAGTTTGCTAAGGTACATTGATAGAGTAAGTGAGTGGGCAAAATTTTGATGATGGAGTATAGTTGAATTAAATGTGAACTGCCTACTTTGACAGAAATAATAGAGATGCAGTGTGTTATTGAAATTGAAAGAATTGTCAGAATCCTGAGGTACAGAGGGATCTGAGTGTCCTGGTACATATATCAGAAAATTACTACACAAATACAGAAAGTAATTATGAAAGCAAATGGTGTGTTGATGTTTGTTATAACATGGATGGAATACAAATGTAGAGAGGTTTTGCTGTAGCTGTGTATTTCATTGCTGAGGCCACATCTGGAATGGTCTGGTCTCCTTATTTGGGAACAGAAAGGCATAATTGCTTTTGAGACAGTTCAACGAAGGTTCACAGAACTTACTCCTGGTATAAAGGATTCATGAAGCAACAGGTGAGATCTGTACCCATTGGAGTTTAGAAGAATGAGAGATGATCTTACTGACAGAAATAAGATCCTGAAGGGACTAGGGGGGAGTGGACATCTGAAGATGTCTCACTTGGGAGTGGGGGGAGATTAGAATTAGGGGACGTCATTGAAAAATAAGAGACATCTTTTTTTAAGACAGAGCAAATATTTCTTCCCCACCCCACCCAAAAGGGTAGTTCAAGTGTGAAATTCTCTTCCCCAGAAGGTCAGGTAGCGTGGGTATTGAAGTTTATCTAAGGCTCAGTTTGATAGTTTTTTTTTCAGAAATGAAGGAGTCTAGGGTTTTGGGGGGAATACAAACAGGAAAGTGAACTGAGACAAGAACGAGCTCAGCCACGATCTTACTGAATGGTAAAGCATGCTCAAGGGACTGAATGGCCTACTCCTAAGTCCTATGTTCTCAAATCATGTAGAAATTTTCATTGCTCCTTCTCCATTTGTTCTACATCCGTTTCATAAAAAGTGGAGACTGCACTGCACTCAGTGTGCCTGCATGTTAGAAAACCTCAGATTTGTCCATATTTCTGTAATATCATCCAGCATCACAAATCCCCAGCACGACAATCTAGCAGCACTGCAAAGCCCCCAACATTACACACCCAACAGGGTTTCACACCATCACAATCATTACACACCCCGAGCATTACAATCCTCCAGCCTGTCTGTAATCTTTCAGTTTTCTTATATATCCTAGGTGCCATCACTCCACCTTGGGCTTAAAGCTTAGATATTCCCTCCCCTTTACTCTACATGGGCTTTTAGTGACCTATTATAATCTATCCACGTCTGGCTTGGTGCCAGATTTTTCTGTAAGGAGCCTTGGGAGGTTTTGCTCCGTGAAAGGTGCTACATAAATTGAGGTTGTTGTTGCGACCTACCAGAGTGTCGAAGGGCCGAGAATCCCTGCTCATCTTCCCAGCTCCGGTCCCCTGCGCTCTCACTAGACGGGAAGTCAATCAGGTCTGGAATTCGACCACCGATGGGGATATTGTGAATCTGTTCATTTTCAAAGCTTCACAACAGCAAAACAGAAACAAAATTATTAGCACAAAGAAGATCAGGTACAAATCATCAGTACACAGAGCAGAAAGTGTCAGAGAAATATCTGTGAGCTTTGGATAGAATAGAATATAATAGAGTAAAATATACTTTGATACAGAATCACCAACAAATATTAGTGCCAGGAAAGGTTTTCTGTGATATTCTTTATTCTTAAAACTTTCGCGATCTCTTTAATCCTTCCATATATGTAGTGATTTAAGTCAATCCACCATCAGGGTGACACTGGCTCAGTAGTTAGCACTGCTGCCTCACAGTTCCAGGGACCCGGGTTCGATTCCACCCTCGGGTAACTGTCTGTGTGGGTTTCCTCCGGGTGCTCCGGTTTCCTCCCACAGCCCAAAGATCTGCAGGTTAGGGTGGATTGGCCATGGGGAATTGCCCATAGTGTTGAGGGATGCTGCACCTAAGTATTTCTGGAATTTTCTGTTCTTATTTTAGATTTCTAGCATCTGCAATTTTTTGCTTCTGTTTCAAATGATCTGATCATTTATTTTGTCCCTGGCAGTTAGGAAGGCAAAAGCAATGTTAGCATTCATTTCCAGAGGGCGAGAATACAAGAGCAGGGATGTGCTGCTGAGGTTCTACAAGGCTCTAGTCAGATTGCATTCGGAATATTGTGAATATTTTGGACTCTATCTAAGGAAGGTGTTGGAGGGGGTCCAGAGGTTTACAAGAATTATCCCAGGGATGAAGGGTTCATCATATGCGGAACAGTTGAGGATTCTGGGTCTGTACTTGATGGCATTTGGAAGGATTGGGGGGCGGCGGGGGTGATCTGGTTGAAACTTACAGAATACAGAGAGGCCTCGATAGAGTGGACACGGAGAAGATGTTTCCAGTAGCAGGAGAGACTAGGACCTGAGGGCACAACCTCAGAGTGAAGGGACGACCCTTTAGAACTGAGATGAGGAGGAATTTCTTCAGCCAGAGGGTGGTGAATCTGTGGAACACATTGTTGCAGAGGGCTGTGGAGGCCAGGTCATTGAGTGCCTTTAAGACAGAGATAGATAGGTTCTTGATTAGTCAGGGGATTAAAGGTTACAGAGAGAGGTCAGGAGAGTGGGACCATGATCAAATGGCAGAGCAGACTTGATGGGCTGAATGGCCATATTCTGCTCCTATATGTTATGGTCTTATGAATGTGTAGGTTAGGTGAATTAGCCATGGTAAATACAGGGTTACAGGAATAGGGTGGGTGCTGGGTCTGGATTGGATGGTCTTCAAAGCATCAGTGCAGACTCGATGGGCCAAATGGCCTCTTTCTGCACTGTAGGGTTTCTATCATAATGCCAGCAGCCCTGAGCTCTGGAATTCTCTCTGAATCTCTTGACCTACCTTTCCTCCTTTGAATTCTCTTCAAACTGACCTCCAGCCTTAACTTCACATCCCCTCACATGGTTCAGTGTCAGTCTTTGTTTGGTTATCACTCTTGTGAGCACCTCGGAGTGGTTTTCACCATTAACGGGACAATTTAATTGCAGGTTGTTCGTGTTGCACTGTTTTTTTGAGTACGCATGTGACTATGAGGGTCTGGGGTGAGGATATTGCAGCCAAATTACACCCCAACACACAATCTGGGCTCAAATGATGACGAATGGTATTCCCACAAGGACTTCCTTCACTGAGTGTCACTGGAGAGTGTGGAAAGGAGTTACACTCACCTGTCCAGGCACTGGCCAGTTTGGGGGTCACACGCTCTTGCACACTCACAAGGTTGGCATCCTGACTCTCCGAAACCCCAGTAGCCCACCAGGCAATGGGTACACTGTGGGCCCCCAACTCCAGGCCGGCAGTAACAGTATCCGCTCTTTGCATCACATTTCCAGCTTCTGTGAAACGACGAGTTGGTTGATCCCACTGGGTGACAGGAGCAGGCTGAAGGGAAAGTGTAGAGGTGGAAATGACAGCCTGCGCTCGTCAAGAAAACACTCCTCCTCCCCTGAAAACCACCCAGTCGCAAGACTCGGATTCCCTTCCCATGCCCCTAGCCCCATCTTAGCTCTGGGTGTCAAGGACAAAGAGCCAGGACATTTGAGTGAAGCTGTGATGAGGAGACAGTGCATTCGATCGCTGCACTTTATTCTGTTACTTATTCATGTGGGTCTTGCCAACATTTGTTGCCCATCCCTAATTAACCCAAGTGGCTTGTTGCAGTCATTGCAGAGGGTGGTTAAGGGTCAACCACATTGCAGTGGGCCTGGAGTCACTTGTAGTCAGTTTCCTTCACCTAAAGAACATCAATGAACCAGATGGATTCTACTCAGTGAATGGCAGGACACCAGGAGTCTCAGAGGGATCTTACGGTGTTTGTCCTGAAGGTGAGGGTGAACATGCAGGACAGGTTAATAGGGTGGTTCAGAAGACAAATACGGCACTTACCTTTATCAGTAGAAGCGTAGGTTACTGAGTCATAGCATCATGCAGCACAGAAATAGACATTTCTGTCAAATTCACCTCTGTCGACCAAGTTTCCCAAACTAGACCAATCCCATTTGCCTGCGCTTGGTCCATATCCTTCTAAACCTTTCCTATTCATGTACCTGTCCAAAATGTCTTTTAAATGTTGTAATGATACCTGCATCTACCACACACGAACCACCCTGTGTGAAAAAGTTGGTCCTCATATCCCTTTTAAATCTTTCCCCTCTCACCTTAAACCTATGCCCTCTAGTTTTGAACTCCCCTACCCTGGGGCAAAGACCTTTGCTAGTCACCTTACCCAGAGGGGATTTGAAGTAAGATTTTTTCCAGCCAGAGGGTGGTGGGGGTCTGGAATGTACTGCCTGGGAAGGAAATTAAGGTGGGAAACCTCACAACCATTTAAAAAGGACTGGGATGAGCACTTGAAGTGTCATAGCATTCAAGGCTATGGGCCTAGTGCAGGAAAGTGGGACTAGTGTAGGGAATAGTAGATATTTGGCAGTACAGACTTGTGGGCCAAAGGGCATCTTCCGTACTGTCTGAATCTGCAGGATTCTACAATAACCCAACATGGATACCATGAGGCCAGGTCCAAGTTTCACTGAAACAAATTTCACCATCTGCCATGGTAGGATTAGGGCCTGTGACCCCAGAAAATTCACTTGGGCCACCATATAACTAACCCAGTGACACTACCACTACATTACAACCGGGCCCGACACTTCAGGAACAATGGGAGGGTCCTTCAGAGAGAATAGAGGAGATTGACCAGGATCATTCCAGGGACAGTGGGAATTTTATTGTTCAGTTTGGTCAGAGAAGCTGGGATTCTTCTAATTGGAGTAAAGGAGATGGAGGGGATTGAATTGAGGGCTGCATGATTAGGACAAGTCTGGAAAAGGTAAACATGAACAAAACCCACATTCAAGGATGGCACAAAAACTGAGAGACACAGAGAAAGGATTTCTGTCTAAAGGAAAGGCAACTGCTGTTTCATCAAATGACACAGTTAAATCCTTAACACCATTAATTGCCACACGAACAATACAAACCCTTCCGCTGGAGAGAAACAAAACAACACCTCCAGACAGCAAACATGTACACAGTGCGGCACTCCCTCAGCACTGACCCTCCGACAGTGCGGCACTGCCTCAGCACTGACCCTCCGACAGTGCGGCACTCCCTCAGCACTGACCCTCCGACAGTGCGGCACTCCCTCAGTACTGGGAGTACTGGCTGTAATTTTGTGTCAGTGTCCCTGGAATGAGATGTGACCCCATGACCCACTGTCTCAGATTGTGGGAGAAGTTGGTGAGATGTTGGTCACGCGGTGAGCGTGAGGTGAACATTCTCCGGGGTATTTTGTAGACTACTCACGTTTGCAGGCGTCTGGTGCTGAGAGTGGTTTCTCGCGGTCTCTGTAATAACCAGGCGTGCAGCGTTGGCAGTGCCGACCCTCTGTGTGGTGCTGACAGGAGAGACAGATGCCTCCACTCTGTTTGCCCGATGCCAACCAGACTCTGTGGTCGAACCAGCAGCTCCTCGCATGTCCGTGGCATTGGCATTCTGTCAGTAAACCAACGCAGTCTCATTATCCGAGACAACAAGGTGCAGGGCTGGATGAAAGGGCTTTTCTGATGAAGGGTCTAGGCCCGAAACGTCAGCCTCTCTGCTCCTATGATGCTGCTTGGCCTGCTGTGTTCATCCAGCCCTGCACCTTGTTGTCTGTCTCTCAGTCTCATTATCCATCTCTTTTCAACTCACAAACATCCCCCAACTTTTCACCCTATTCCCCAGAGGACTCCGAGCCCAATGAGAGCCAAAGACCACTCCTGGCCTGTTTCCCGGCCCAGAGCATATTGGAAGCTATCGCTGGTGACTTCAGACTTTGTATCAGGCTGGACTTCCTAATCACAGTGGGGAGTCTTGGCTGATTCATCGCTGACCATTTTACCAACATGTTCCCATTCCTCACATTTCATTCACTCTGTCTGGAAACGGGTGTCAAGCACAACACGATTGGCTGACAAAGCAAGATTCACATGGACATTTAGTATCACCTTACCAATAATGCACTGGTGGCACAGGTAGGTTTAAGATTTTTGAGAAGATTTGTAGCTCGGGTTGTGGATGAGGTTGTAGACTTGCTCACCGAGCTGGTGTGATTGACGAAACGTCTGCAATCACCCTGCTAGGTAACATTGTCAGTGCGTCTCCGGTGAAGCGCGGGTGTTCTGTCCCACTTGTTATTTACATGCCTCGTTTGCTGGGGTGGTTGGCATCACTTCCAGTTTTGTTTTTCAGTGGTTTGTATATCGGATGCAGTTCAATGTGTTTGTTGATGGAGTTCCGGTTGGAATGCCAGGCCTCCAGGAATTCCCTGGCACGTCTCTGCTTGGTTTGTGGTATTATGGATGGTTGTCCCAATCGAATTCATGTCCTTCTTTGGGACAACACTGACAATAAGGATACACAAACACCAACTAGCCATCAAGAGACACGACCAATTCTCACTGGTCTCAATACACACGGACAAAGGACACGAATTTGACTGGGACAGCACATCCATAACAGCACGAACCAGAGACATGCCAGGGAATTCCTGCAGGCCTGGCATTCCAAATGGAACTCCCTCAACAAACATACTGAACTGCATCCGATATACAAACCACCGATGAACAGAATGGGAAGTGATGCCAACCACCCCAGCAAACCGAGGCAAATAAATAACAAGCAGGACAGAAAACCAACGTTTCACCGGAGGCGCACTGATGACATTACCTAACAGGGTGACGAAACGTCTGCAGTCAAACACACTGGCTCAGTGAGTGAGACTACAGCCTCACACAGGTAAGTGGCCAGACCAGACCAGATTTCAGGGTAATTATCACCGGGATAAATCCATATAAGACCAAACTAAATCTCCCTCTACACTGTCCCTATCAAACACTCATAGGGCAGGGTCAGCACTGGGATAGATACAGAGTAAATCTCCCTCTACACTGTCCCCATCAAACACTCATAGGGCAGGGTCAGCACCGGGATAGATACAGAGTAAAGCTTCCTCTACACTGTCCCCATTAAACACTCCCAGCACAGGGACAGCATAGAGTTAGATACAGAGTAAAGCTTCCTTCTATTCTTTAAACTGAAAGTAAAGCTTTTTCGACTGTCCCCATCATACACGAGTAGGACAGGGACAGCACAGGGTTAGATACAGGAAAGCTCCCTTGACGTTATTCCAGTTACTGTGCCAGCTGTCCTTGTGACCTCTCTGAAATGTTTGTCTGATTTGTGGGGTTCTGGACCTGCTGAAACAAACCAACCTTCCTGAAAGTTTCATCATGAATGTAAATAAGAAGGGCTCATTACTTGCACATTGATTTGGTGCTCCAGTTTTTCCATCCCCCGGCTGCCATGGCTGGTCATTGTAGAGGGGAGCGCACCTTTCACAGTGGTCCCCAGCTGTGTTATGCCTGCAGACACACTTGCTGTGCACCTAAGCCACAGGAACAATTGAGAGAGTGATGAAGAATGGACTCCAAAGGAAAAATCCAAACTTTCCTTCCAACTTTAAAAATGCTACATTTCACCAGAAATAGTTTGCTGTCAAAATAAAGAATGTCATTTATGGTCATCAATATGGAAATAACTGAGTCGGAAAATTTACTCCGTGCATCAGGAATTACCACAACCTTTTCAAATTAATCCATGGGAAGTGGGCGTAACTGGCTATGCCAATGTCTATTACCCATCCCTAATTGCAGTTAAGAGTCAACCCTATTGTTGTGTCACATGTAGCCCTGACCGGATAAAGATGGCAGATTTCCTTCCCTAAAAGACATCAGTGAACAGAGAATTTTTCAAAACAATCAACAATGGATTCATGAGCATAGAGACACAGTCATAGAGTCATACAGCACAGAAACAGACCCTTCGGTCCAACTTGTCCACGCTAGGTCCCACTAGCCTGCATTTGGCCCATATCCCTTTAAGCCTTTCCTATTCATGTATCTGTCGAAAATTCTTCTACATGTTTAACTGTCCCTGCATCCACCACTTCCTCTGGCAGTTTATTCAACATACCAACCACATAGACTGTTAACTGCAGATTCTTCTTGAATTCAAATTCCACAATCTGCCGTGGCGGGATTCAAACCCGAGACGCCAGAATATTCCCTGGGTTTCTGGATTACTAGACTAGGGACAATACCATGAGGCCTTGATGAATGGATGTGATGAATAATACATTCCACTTAGCTATTTGCCTCTTGAAAATGGGAGCTCATCCATAAATTTCAACAACTTGCTGCATTTGTATATCAATTACCCACTAAACCAGCCACAAAATTAACAATGTAGTGATTGTAACGAGGTCAGCCAGGTGAACCTCGTAGAATCTGAGTTCCCTGATTTGGCTGTTAATCTGGTCCAATCAGGGAGCCCTGGCTGACAGACAGAAACAGGAGCGTCAGACGTTCTGTTCACTCAGAGCTGTTCTGAGGGAGCTGGATCAGTGTCAAGGACTCTCCATATGTAAATAAAGGGTGACTTGGTGATGGGATACTGGCCTCTGTGGAGTAATTTCAAACAACATAAAATCTTTCTCATTTAGATTAATGCTCCTATAATACCTCTGCCCACCCCTACATCATTTTGTCATATCAACATATCTTTCTGTCCTTCAACAGTATCATCCCAAACTGTGACCTATCCCAAAGGATAAATGCAGCAGACACATGGGAATACCACCCCCTGCATGTTCCCCTCAAAGCCATTCACCATCCTGACTTGGAAGTATATCGCTGTTCCTTCACTGTTGCTGGGTCAAATTCCTGGAACTCCTTCTCTAGTTGTTTGGGGGAATGTACAACTTAGTACTGCAGCACTTTGAGATGCAAATTCACTACCACTTTTCTAGGGCAATAAAGATTGAGCAGCAAATTGCTGGCCTTATCAGTGGTACCAATGTCACATGAACAAATTCTCCTTAGTTGCAATACAAATGCACATTTCCTTGCCTTTAACAGGGTTTACCCTTAAGGACTCCAGGTGTTGCGTGTATACAATGTCGCGGCTCTGCCTGATAATTTGTCTGCTAAGGTTTTTCCAAAGAAACCTACTGCTTTGATGTAGTGTCTGCCTTATAATGTTTTACTAGTTTAAATAAACTAATCCACAGAGGTAATCAATTTCTGATGAATGACCGAGTCTGAGACCATTATCAATGATATGACATTTTTCAGGTAAGAGTCATTGGGAATCTCTCCTTTTGGAGAATCTCTGGCCATTTACTGTTTATGGGGAAGCAATGGCCTAGCAGTATTATTGCTAGATTATTAATCCTGAAATCCAGGTAGCGTTCATGGTGGATGGTGAAATTTGAATTCAACAAAAATTGGAATTAATAGTCTAATGATGAACATGAATCTGTTGCCAGTTTTTGGAAAAACCCATCTGGTTCACTAATGTCCTTTAGGGAAGGAAACTGCCATCCTTACCTGGTCTGGCCTACATGTGACTCCAGACCCACAGCATGTGGTTGACTTCAAATCAGGGATGGGCAATAAATGGCCATAGCATGCACTTTGGGAAGGAGGTGGGGATCCTTGAAAAGGTGTGGAGGAGATTTACCAGAATGTTCCAGAGTGAAGGATCTTAGTTGCAAGGTCACATTGGAAAAGCAGAGGATTGCTCTCCCTGTAGAAAAGGAAAATCAGGGGAGGTGTGACCGTGGCACACTGGGACTAGGAGACACAGGTTTCTGACTTTGGGTGAGAGATGCAGTGGGGTGTGTGTGTGTGTCTGTGTGTGTGTGTCTGTGTTAGACGGAGGGTATGGGAAAGATTTTTAAAGGAGTGAGTGACAATGATTTAGGATCAGAGGGGTGAGGGGGCCAGAAACAGGGATGATGAATGATTTCAAAAGGAAATCAGATGGACACTTGAGGGTAACAAAACTAGCAGAGCCACAGGGAGAGTGTGAGGGAATGGGACTGACTGGCTTTGCTCTACAGAGAGCGAGCAAGACCTCGATGAGCTAAATGGCATCTATGGTACTGTAAATGACTCTGCGACTCAGTCACCAAAACTGGTTAGGGTGTGGGATCAACTTCTGAGTGCAGCACACTCACATTAACCGAGGAGGTAGTGAACTGGGACCGCACATCAACAGGAGTTAGTTATCAAAGGAGCCTCATTTAGCCAGTTCAATTCTCCCCCGTCATGTTCAATTTTGGACCCATTCTCTTTCCCACTGGCTCATCTAAAGAGAATATTTCTCAGACCATACCTAGATAGATCCAACTTTCTCACAATTACATTTTATTTCCTTCACTGGAACTCAGATGTTGCACTTCCTGATTTATTTCTCCCTGTGCTGCCTTTGTCTATCGCCTGTTGTTGTTTGTGACCCGTTTCTCCTTCCTGTGTTCTTGGACCATTTAAAAAGAGTCATGGTTTTTGAGGTGACAGGGGAAAGCTCAGAGCAGCTGACACTGTCCCCCTCTTGGAGCAGGAGGAGATAAAGAGGTGATTTAATCACAATGTTCAGAATTCAAAAATGGTTTTGCCGAGAGTAAGAATTGAGAATTCCAGCAGCAGGAATGGCAGGTCAGTCACTCGCGGAGGTGGATTTGAGATAATTAACTGAGGAACCAAAAGAATCATTACATGAACTCTGAAAGGGGGGTGGAAGCAAATTCAATAGGAATTTCCAAAAGGGGACTGGAGAAATTGCTGACAAGGAACAATTTAGAAAAGAGTAAGGGGTGGGGTAATGGGACTAAGTGAATAGTCTTTCAGGTCTCTCTGTGCGTCGATGTGGAGACACTGGATGTAAAAAGGCATTACCACCACAGGACATCCCGAAGGTCCTCATGGATGAGGAGGTCCCTTTTGGGGTTCTGTCAATGTCATCATGTAGGAAATTCAGCAGCCAATTTGTACACAGTATGATCCCAGAGAAGGCTTTCATTGGTACTGAGTCAGGAGTCAATAGTGGTCCACATACTGCGGGGGTGGGGAGGAACTTTTCAAAACAGCAGCTGTGGGGTCTTATGGATCCCACGAGAAGCCAATTAGGTGTTACCTTCACAGAATGATTCATCTGAAAGATGGCCCCTCTGACAGAGCAGCACACCCTCAGTCCTGCGCTGGGAACATCAGCCTGCGATATTATGAGCAGGGACTTGGAGCCACAGCTCTGTGAGCCCGAGATGAGAACGTTCCACACTGAGCCACGGATGACAGCTGTATATTGAGGAGAGAATGTGCAGCACCTAGCCTTACGCACCTAGCCTTACTCACCATGGTATTTGTGTTCCTGCCTCTTTGCTTGGCCTCATCGGATGGCTGACACTCCTCAGCGTGCCCATTACAAAAACAGCTTCCCTGGACAATCAAGTTGTAGACTGCGTAATGGGCAAATCTCTGGGGCTTCTCGATTAGTGTCCCAGGCTGGCAAGGGCACTCCTGCTGTTTCAGCATGTGCAGACGGAGATTGGTGAGTTTCATGAGGTCCTGAGCGTCTGGACTGTAAGGATTTTCTATCCTGTTGGCGGGGGATAAGGCACGGAATATTACCTGCAACACACAGCACAGCGTTGAAGAATCATCACTAGCACAGCATCAGAATATTCCTGAGAAGAGACACACCTTATCCAAACTTTTCATCCTGCACCCATCAGGACCACAGCAAGAATGCCAAATCTCACAATGATCACAACAATTTTTAGCACAGGAGTTAAGGTTGGCAAGTCAACTCTGATTGGCCAAGGCTTTGCTGTGAACATGTGAACATACAAATTAGGAGTAAGCTATTTGGCCCCTCGAACCTGCTCCACCAATTAATAAGATCATGGCCGATCTGATCGTAACCTCATATCCACATTCCTGCCTACCCAATAACATTTCACCCCCACCCCCTGCTTAAAAGAATCTATTTCTGCTTTAAAAATGTTCAAAGCCTTTGCTTCCCCTGCCTTTTCAGGAAGAGAGTTCCAAAGGTTCATGACTCTCAGAGAAACAAAAGAGCATCTTTTCTGATTTACATGGGCGAGCCCTGAGTGAACCATGCTTCTAGATTCTCCTAGAAAAGGAAACATCTTCTCCACATCCCCTGTCCCTCAGATTTTATATGCTCTAAACAAATTACCTCGTACTTTTCTAGACTCCAACAGATACAAGCCTAGCCTGTCAATTCTTTCCTCATAAGGCAATGTCCCCAACCCCCACCCATCCCAGGTATTAATCTAGCAAAGCTTCTCTGAAATGCTTCCAATGCATTTACATCCATTCGGTCCATCCTTCCTCTGCCAGGTCTTTGAAAGAGCTCTTCCATTACTTCCCACTTCTAGAGTCAGAGTCATACAGCACAGAAACTGACCCTTTGATCCAACCAGTTCCTTGCCAAACATAATCTCAAACTAAACTAGACCCACCTGCTTGCACTTGGCCCATATCCCTCCAAGCATTTACGATTCATAAACTTATCTAAATGTCTTTTACATGTTGTAACTTCTCTGCTCATACCCCATTATTCAACAGGTTTTTGCATCTAGTTGTGAACACAGGGAGAAACAAATTTTGTCAGTCAGGCTTGACTAAAGGAAAGATACAAGATACAGCAAGGTTTGTGAAAAGTTACCATTGGCCAGAAATTCAACTGCACTCTCATGCAAACAGTGACTACAAGAACAGACGAGAAGCTAGGAATACTGCGGCAAGTAACTCCCCTCCTGACTCCCCAAAACCTGTCCACCATCTACAAGGCACAAGCCAGGAGTGTGATGGAATACTCCCCACTTGCCTGGACGGGGGCGGCTCCAAAAACACTCAAGAAGCTTGACACCATCCAGGACAAAGCAGCCGCTTGATTGGCACCACATCCACAAACATCCCACTCCCTCCACCACCGACACTCAGTAGCAGTAGTGTGTACTATCTACAAGATGCTCTGCAGAAATTCACCAAAGATCCTCAGACAGCACCTTCCAAACCCATGAGCACTTCCATTCAAAAGGATAAGGGCAGCAGATACATGGGAACACCACCCCCTGCAAGTTCCCCTCCAAGCCACTCACCATCCTGACTTGGGAAGTTATCGCCATTCCTTCACTGTCACTGGGTCAAAATCCTGGAATTACCTCCCCAAGGGCATTGTGGGTCAACCTACAGCAGGAGGACTGCAGCGGTTCAAGAAGGCAGCTCACCCCCACCTTCTCAAGGGGCAACTAGGGACAGGCAATATGCACAATGTGTCTCCTGTCTTTACCTGATTTCAGGTTTCGATAGTAGAAGGGCCCAGATGTAGAAATATAGTAAATAGGAGGAGTAGACCATTCGGGTCTTTGAGCCTACTCCACCATTCAATTTGATTGTGGCTTGGAGCTGAAACCTCCACCATCTCATAGAAGCATTACATCAAACAACATTTTATATTGATGCCGACTTGGTCCAAAAGGCAATTTTTAGGGAGTAAATTAAAGAAGGAGAAAGGATGGAGAGAAGGAAAGGCTTCTGGAGGGAATTCAAGACCTTGTCTCCAGCTGGTTATGGATTTGGTCTCCAATGATGGAGCGATTAAAATCAGTGATGTACAAAAGAGCAGAGTGAGAGCAGTAGTTTGGAGATGACAGAGGGAGCAGATCAAAGAATCCCTACAGTGCAGGAAGAGGTCATTCGGCCCATTGAGTCCGCACCAACCCTCCGAAGGGCATCCCACCAGACCCAACTCCCCCCCTCACCCCAACCCCACATTTACCATGGGTAATCCACCTAGCCTGCACATTCCTGAACACTACGGGCAATTTAACATGGCCAATCCACCTAGCCTACACATCTTTGGACTGTGGGAGGAACCAGAACACCCAGAGGAAACCCACACATACATAGGAGGAATGTGCAAACTTCACACAGACAGTTGCCTGAGCTTGGAATTGAACCTGGGTCCCTGGCGCTAGGAGGCATAAGTGCTAACCGCTGAGCCACCATGCCACCCACAGTAAAGGCAAGGCCAGTGAGAGACTTGAGAATTTTAAAATCAGTTTAAAGGATAAAATTACAAATGGAGATTTCCTGTGTTCTATGATTTTATTTAACACTTGGAAAATCTCCCTGGTTGTCACTCATCGTGAACTGGATTAATATTTTGTGATGTTGCAGGCAATGGATAATGTATTATTCCGCTGCTATGACAGGTCCTTATGTAACGCAGTCCATCCCATTAAAGCCACAAGACTCTAGATGGTGAAAGTGGGTAGTTAGAGTACAATTTCACAAAGTGAAAGCTCAATTCAATCTAAAGTTGAGGTTTCTCTGTGTGTGCTAGTGGTTGCTTCGAGATTCCAACTCAGGGGGAAAAGAAACACAAACACCACAAAATGACTGAATTTGATATTCTTCAGAAATGGCTAAAATGGCATTCAAGGCCCTAAACTTTATAAATAGAAGCTAGGAGTACAGAAGCAAGGAGGTTTAGCTGCAACCGGCTCAAAATTAACAAGAGAATTGTGTCCAGTTCTGGGGAACTGTGAACAGAAAAGTTTTGGAAGAGGTGCAAAAATATTCATTAAATGCTTCACAGGGCGAGGAATTTTTCAGCCAATAAACTGGGGAGCTAGAATCATAGAATGCCTACAGTGTGGAAGCAGGCCATTTGGCCCATTGAGTCCACACTGACCCTCTGGAGAGCATCCTACCCAGACCCACACCATCCCTGTAACCCTGCATTTCCTATGACTTATTCACCCAATCTACACAGCCCTGGACACTATGGGCAATTTAGCATGGCTAATGCACCCTAATCTGTACATCTTTGGACTGAAGGAGAAAACCAGAGCACCCAGAGGAAGTTCACACAGACACTGGGATATTGGGGAAACTCCACACAGTCGCCTGAGGATGGAATCGAATCTGGGTCCCCAGCACTGTGAGGCACCAGTGCTAACCACTGAGTCACCATGCAGCTGCTATTCCTAAAGAGGAGAAGGTTTACAGGAAATTTGATTAAGGACATCAAAACCTTGAGAGATCCACACAGGGTTGTTGGGGGGGGGGGGGGAAACATACTGTTCTCATGGGTCAGGAACAAAGGGAATTGAAGGTGATGGGAAAAGGAACCAATAAAGTCACCACACTCCTGGGAGGGGGTTCCTCTCTCATTAGAGAGAGAGAAACGACTGGCAGAGAGATTCACCTCAGGGTCATGGTGCCTCAGGCAAAGGGAGAGGTGAGAATGCTGGACCTTTATGGTGACCTCGGCTGGAGTGGGAATTGAACCCGCACTATTGGCATCACTTTATGTTGCAAACCAGCCATCCAGCCAACTGAGTGAACCAACCCTCAAAAGAAGCAGTAGCAACATGTGGAAAAACATCATCACCCAGTGAGTGAGTGGGTAGGATCTGAGAGTGTGCTAGAGGCATGTTCGATCGCAGAGTTCAAAAGGGAATTCACTCAATATTTGAAGGGCAAAGAATTTCAGATTTTGGAAAAGGTAGCGGACCAGCTAAACTGTTCTTGCAGAAAGTTGGGTAGAATGGCCTCTTTCTATGCTCTAACTACACTGTGACTCTATTATTCTGTGAACAACTTGTTCTTGTTAAGAACAATTGCCACTTAAATTGTGATGCACTCAAAATTAATTACACTATTCTTTTTATGTAACCTATTTTTTCTAATTAAGCTGTTCAGAGATGTTATTACACATCTCTGGAACAGGTGGGACTTGAACCTGGTGTCTCAGTCCGGAGGTAGAGACACTAATACTGCACCACAAGAGGGTCCTTAATTACACAATGGACCTCCTGTGGTTCACCTCACACTATCAATCGATGTGATCAGCAGTGGTTTACGGTTGCTAGTCTCTGGCTGTTTCTGCTTCTCACTGTTACTTCCTCACTCTCTGTCTTTGCTTCTCTCCATCTCTTTATGTAGGTCATAGAACTAACTATACAACATAGGAGGCCATTCAGCCCAACATGCCTATACCAGGTGAAATTAATATTGGGAGTGAATACACCCACAGAAGAAGAGAACTGCAACATGGACATATTGGGACTTTGCTGGGTTTGCAAACAGATTTGCCACGCCTGAATAAGATAAATCAAAGGATTAAAGGAGATGATATTCTATTTGCCATTTACAAAAACATCAAGTGGATTTGGAAAGTAGTGTCCTGTAAAGTTTTACAAACCTGGAAAACCGTAATGGATCTACACTATAGTCCCCGAGCCAAAGCCTCTGGACTGACAAAATGCCAGTTTGTTTCAGCGAACACCTTGAGCTGTGGCCACTTGCTGCAGATGATTATGTGGATGCAGTCACGTCTCTTTCTCAGTCAGAATGACATAGAGAGTGTGAGGCTGAAAGCAGCAACCTCTAGATCTCTGATGAATCATTTGAGAAAACCTGATATAGTTTCAAACATCACAAATCCTACCTGTACCTAACTGAATCTGAAATCTAATCTAAAGATTTTCCATTATCCTATGACTGTCAGCGATCAGATCGAGGTGACAGGGTGAGGATTTAAGTCTGATTAACAAATGCAACACTACCACATCAACAGTCTTGCCATTTTTATCCCATTCAAAAGCGTAGGTTAGATAAATAAAGGGGTAGGAGTTTATAGCTCACGCCTGATATTGTTGGCAAAAAGGTGTTGTACTGGGAATGTCACTGAATGGGTAACTGAGAGACCCCAGGAAATGTTCCGTCAGAAGGGACTCAGTTCAATGCCATAGCTGATAAACAGCACTTTCAACAGTGCGGCGCTCCCACAGCACTGACCCTCCGACAGTGCGGCGCTC